TTCTGAGACTGTACCTCTATAGGAGAACAAAGTGCCATCTTTCTCCTGTGGAGTAGCTGGTGGCTTTGAACTGACAATGTTTCACATTGCAGCCCAACATGTAACCACTACACCACAAGGGCTCCTATAGCTGTAATATATATTATATTAAATAGTTATTATGCAGCTCTCACAATATTAGGAAGCTTCCAAGAGTTGATGGGAAAAAATTCATTATTCTGTTCCATTTCCCACAAACTATTTGAAGCCCCTTTGAAATATATATATATATCTGCAACAATGGGCTCAAACATAGCAGGGTGTTGGCAGAGGACCAGGCAGTGTTCCTTTTGTGTACACTGGGTCACTGTAAGTCGGCACTTAGTTGATGGCACCTAACTATAATATGTATACATATAATGAATGTATATATGAATATATACACACACTTACATGTGCTCATCTGCAGCTTGCTTTTAAAATTTAACTCTATATCCTAGTTATTTATTGAAGCTTTAAAATAAAATATTTTAATAGTAACTATGATCACTCCTTTAAAACTTTAAAACTGTTTGTTGCTTATGTGAGCAAGATTCTCGTTATAAAACACTAGTGAAGCTTTCATGTGCATATGGATATTGGAAACAGTAGGCACTTTAAAATAATGGACACAGATTATTCTATTCAAAAGGTGTGTTTGGCTCTTTTTCTATTTTTCCTCATAGCAACTCGAGAAGTCATGTGGATGACAGTGAAGGGAGATAAATCACTCCCTCACTGAACTGGACAAAGGGAATCAGCCCAGATGACAGACAATCTCAGCAGAAAAGGCTCTGAAGCTTCAAAGTGAAGCCAAGATCATCACATTCAGAAGTTAAGGGCTGATCATTAAAGACCCCGATGGGAGGCCCTTGCCCTGGCTCTTTTCTGTGGGAAGCTTTAAGACAAGCCAGCCCTCCTGGTTGGGTGCCAGCCGTGACATCATTTTCATGGAAAGTCGGCCCGACAGGTACACTTTAGGGTGTCCCTGTTCACTGAGGCAGGAGATGGCCTCTGAATAGTGAGGTTCCCATGGCACTGGAGAAGTGTTTTTTGAAAAGAGAGACTGAGGAAAGAGGAAGGCCCCAAAACTCAGCTTCAAAGCGTGCTCAGAGAATTTCACACAGCAGGTTTGCTCTGTGGGACATGGACGTGCCAGCACTGCTCTTGAGGGGGGATGAGGAAAAAGTCCCCGCTTGCTGGGGCGATCCCTTCTCTCAATGTGATGAGCCGGTAGATGGTCTACTTTTCGATTCCAATGCATGTCTGTGCAGAGCACAGGGTTGTTTTAGTTTTCACAGTATTCTTGTGATCCAAGAATGTGCTTATTTAATATCTGGACACTCGGTGCAGTATTTTTAGTTGCTGCTGCTGTTTTTACATTTTCCTAAAAGCGTAAAAATCAAAGGAGACATGGTCTCACATGCACGAAGGATCATGCTAGATTTGATTAGCCAGCTGGAGAGCCGCATGCTTTCTAATTTTGGTCACACACATGTTGGTCTCGATTAGTCTATGGTGCTGCATGCTTGCCATCATGCAAATGGGGGCCTGAATCCCCCCTCACCTCTTTAATGGTTTGTTTTTTAACCCAGACTTGATTTGTGAAAAATTAACTTTCCGCTCAATTAAGGTGATCATGTATCTTGGTTTACCAGGACAGTCCTAGTTGACACCGGTTGCTAGAGGAAATCAGTTGACCAGTTGTCTTCTGGTGCCGTTAGCTTCTGTTGACTTGGTTCCAGTGCATCGCAACCTTCTGTAAAATGAACGAAACCACCTAATCAAACACCGTCCTCACAGGTGTTCTTATATTTGAGCCCATTGGTGTAGCCACTGGGTCAGTCCATCTTGGGGAGGGCTTCCCTCATTTTGCTGCCCTGCTACTCGACCGAGCAGCAGGTCCTTCTGCAGCGATTGGACTCTCCCGACAACATGCCCAAAGTTGCCTTAGTCAACTCCCGCTCATTGCACTCGCCCCTGGGTGTCAGAGTAGAATTAGGCTCTTGGAGTTTTCACTGGCTTCCCCCCCCCCCAGCCTTTTCTTTTTGAGAAGTAGATCTCCAGGCCTTTTTTTGTGTGAGGCGTCTCTGGGTAGACCCAAGCCTTCAATCTCTTAGTCAACAGCTCAAAGCATTAGCCGTTTGCCTTGCTAATATGATAATTCTCCTTTTTCACTCTCAAAGTGTCTTTGGACAATAACTTCATGACATGACCCCTAAGAAACAGGTAATAGGATAAAAGCTAAATTTAGTATCACCACCAACATCCCAAGTACAGAAACAAGACCTAGAAGATGCCTTAACACATCACACAGCACATTCTACACTTGTTATTGTGTGCCCTGGGAGTTCACTCCAGGCTGCCTAGTGACCAGAATAGCGTGGTTTATACAATTGTTAGGAGGCAGCACAATGAAATCATGTTACTTCTTTAGGAAAAGCAGAGCATTCTTTCACCATAATGACTACTGATGAAATCCTACAGAAAAAAAAAAAAAGAATATTAAAGATTCGCCTGCTTCCTCTAGGAACACTGATCTGTCACTGGGTTGTGAAGAATTGCCACGAAGTGTCTTGAGACATTGAGTTAGGAGTAACTTGTTTGGAAATCTGGAGAATTGGTTGCAGTAGGACAGCTGCTCACTCATGACAGAATAAGGATACTCAGAACCACACAGTGCACCATTTGGGAAGACCGTTAGTGGTCACTAGTTGAGCTCCCACGGAGCCCTGATGGCATAGTGAGTTACATACACATTGACCTGTTAAGCAAACGGTCAAGAGTTTGAAACCACCGGCAGTTCCTCAAGAGAAAGGTGAGGCTTTCAACTCGCATAAAGAGTTAAGTCTGGAAAACCCACTGGGCCGGTCTACTCCGATGGGGCTACTGTTATGGGTCATAATTCGCTCAGTGGTGGTCACTTTGTTTTGGTTTTGGAGTTGAGCTCCATATGCTACTATCTTGAAATAGCCCTTCATCATTCCCTCCCCCTGGATATAAGACCTGTACTATAAAAAATTCTGTTAAGCACAGGAAACACAATGCCTCCTAGGCAGCCAGGAGTATCCTTAGAGATCCTGCCCTGTGCTAACCCATGTAAACTTGCCCCAAGTTCATTCGAAGCAGGCAGAGAAATTATGACCTCTGTTCAAAGCCATTTGCAGACCAAAGTTTAGCTTTCCTTGAGGATAGAATGAACCTTCAGTGCCTTTCCCTCCAATTCCTGCATAGCTTTGGCCACAGAATGAATTTCTCCGTGGTGTGTGTGTGTGTGTGTGTTGTGTGTGTAGGGGTGGGGGTGGGGTGTCGGGTGGGTAGTTGGGAGGTTTAAATGGGTAGTTGGGAGGTTTAAAAAAGTTTACGGAGAAGTGGAATTAAAAGATAATAGAATTTTCCCACTAATTTTTCAAGTCCCTACATATGTATTCACAGGCTTGGTTGTATAACATGCTTGAAAGAGGGCTCTGACTTGGCTGCCCAGAGTAGTTACTTCCATAGTAATTAATCTAGCCCTTTCCTTCAGGCCTTTCCATCCCTATTTGACATGCAACATTTTGTTAAGAAGGCACTTGGTAGTTGGAAACTGTGGTTAATATTGTTTTTTTTTAAGCTGCATTTCCTATCATTTCCAGCATTTGCTTACATGGAAAAAATGCGCCTATCCAGTTGAACTATTCAATTATAAAACTAATTTTTTCCATGCTGGATGGTGAACTCAGAGGTGGCTATGCCCTGGCCTACTACCGGGTATATACCAGCCAGGCAGCAAGCACATTATCTACAACTAAGAAGAACCATGTATTTCAGAAGAGCACGTTTTCCGTTATTGAAGTCATATCACTAGTGAAGTGAGAAATGATCTTTATGTAAAATGCAATGGAAGTAATAGATCATGGGTTTTCCAGGAAGAAGGCTGCTTTGTGAGAAGACAGCATGGTAGAGAAAGGCCAGCTCTGGGGCTTTGGGGTCAGGCAGGCCTGAGTTGATTTCTCCTCTTGCTTCCTGAACTCAGCTGCCTCATGTCAGACAAGTTCAACCCACTGGTACAGTGTTTCCCAAAGTGGGTGACACTGCCCCCTGGGAGTGCTGGAGTGATCCAGGGCTGCTGTGAAAACAGATATTTCATATCCAAAAGGCACTCTGCCCTAGTTAGTTGTGTGTTTGGCTGCTTAACTGCAAGGTCAGCAGTTCAAAACTATGGAAGAAAAACAGAGCTTTCTACTTTCATAAAGAATTACAGTCTTGGAAACTCAAAGGGCAGTTCTATAGGGTCACTATGAGCCATCATCGACTGGATGGTAATGAATGAGTGAGTGAGTGAGTGGATTATGGGCTATTGTATGGACATTTTTAATTGCTGGGGAATCGCTGAGATATATATATATATATATATATATTTTTTTTTTTTTTTTTTTTTCCCCTGAAAAGGGAGTAATAGGCCAAATAACTTTGGGAATCTAGAAATAACTTTGGGAATCTAGCTCCTCTGGGAAAGAAAGGTCTGATAATCAATGTAAGAGCAACTGATTGTACCAACCACCCTCAGGATGGCTGAGTACATTTAGTGTCAGAACATGCAAAGCAGTATGTGAGAAGACCTCAGGGGCTAGCACGCTTTCTCTGTAACGCTCCAGAGAGGAAACATTTTGGGTTTTGTGGGTCCCTTAGTCTCTGTCACAACACTTCACCATAAATGAATGGAGGTCACTATGTTCCAATAAATCTTTATCTGTGGACATCGAAATTTGAATTTCATGGGATTTTACATGCCATGAAATATCCCTCCTTTGAGTTAGAAAATAAATAGTTTAGGTTGCAAACCATAAAACCAAACTCACTGCCATCAAGTCAACGCCAACTCATCGCAGTCTTAATAGGACAAGTAGAACTGGCTGAGCTTGTAACTGATATTGGGAATAGAAAGCGCCATCTTTCTGCCATGGAGTGGCTGGTGGTTTTGAACTGCTGATCTTGCAGGTTAGCAGCCCAGTATTTAATCACTATGCCACCAGAGCTCCTAGTTAAGCCCACAGGCCATGCATCAAGCAGGATTTGGCCCACAGGCAGTTGTTTTCTGGCCCCTGAAATAGCTAAACATTTTTTAGGCATGTACTTTTTGCCAAATCTTCAAGGCATCAGTCAGTCTTCACTGAATCCTACAAAACTGATATTAATATCAACCTCCTTTTGTAAATGAAGAAACTGAGGCTTAGCAATGTTAAGCAGCTCACTTGACCGCATCATTATTAAGAAGCAAGAAAAGGATTGAAACTCTGAGTCTCCACAGTCCATGTCTAAAACCTCTCAGCAATATTGCCTCTTACATATAGTGGTTTTTTATATGTTGCTTATTAAAAGAAAAAAACATTGGTTGTACAAAATAAGTCACAAAATGCTCTTTGCCATGGTTAGAGTGAGAGAGGGTGGAAGGTGTTAACCTCCTGAAGTAAGCTGCCTACACGCATAGTAAGTATTTGCGGCCCAAATGGTGGTTGTGCTGTATACATTTCAAGAGTCAGCAGAAGATCAACATCTTCAAAATGTTAGTTTCTAAGGGCAAGAAATGTGAGTTGCTTTCATGAAATAAACAATCAACCCACCATTGTCAATTGAGGCATTTCAAACGGTGATTTGGGCTTAAGGGGAAATCAAGGGGGTTGGGTGTGTGTGTGTGTGTGTGTGTGTGTGTGTGTTCTTCCTTGTAGCTTATTTTAAACCAGTTTCACCTGATGTATTATTCACGTGTAACCTGTGATAAGTTGTGCGTGAGGCTGCAAGGTCATGGTACTGAGGGATGGACTTGGTATCCAGGAAACCCAGACTGCATCTTTCCCTGGCACTAAAAAAGATAAAGGCAAGCCACTGGCCCACGGCCGCTGGATGGCGTAGCAGGGAGAGCACGGTGGGAAACATTGGCTTCCTGTTCTGGAGCCGCTCTTTTATGATCCCTGTGACCTCAGCAAATGACGCATATTTTCTGAACCTGTTTTTGCTTGACGTAAAAGCCCTACCCGTAGGAAAGCGATCAGAGAATGTTGGCAAGTTAAGTGCCAAATAACTCATCTGCGGTGTGTGTTTGGGGAGGCACAGACAATCTGACACAGATACGGCTGGGTTATGCACCAGTTTGCATCCCTAGATGCAGGCTAAGGAGCCCTGATGGGGTAGTGAGTTACGCATTGAGCTGCCAACCACAAGGTCACCAGTTCGACTCTGCGAGAGAAAGAAGGGGCTTCCTGCTCCCGTGAAGAGTTGAAGCCTTGGAAAGCCAAATGTGCCAGTTCTCCTCGATCCAGCTGGGCCCCCGGGAGTCGGAATCAGCTCAGTGGCAGTGGGTAGGTTAGATGCCGTCTTCATGATGCATCACAGTAAATATTTACGAGACTCCTAGCCAAGTTTGTCAGATTCAATGCAAGCTTGTGAGGCAGCCAGTACTGCATCTGTTTTAAATATGAAGGAGCGCTCAGAGAAGCCAGGTGGTTTGTGCAAGGTCATCCAGCTTACAGGTGCAAAGCCTTTGGCCTTCCCTTACTTTCCCAGCCTTCTCTCTGGGGAGCACGCTGATGAGTATCAGGGCAGGCTTCTCTAGCTGGTCCCTCCCCGCTGAGGCCCAGGATCACGCAGGAGGGCTCAGGCCTGCCATGACATGCAGACCGCATGGTTCACAGTCAGGCTTTAAGACAAACTGCAGCGTTCGTGTGACTGCAACAACGTTGGAGTAGCTACCATTTTCAGGTACTTACTACGTGTACTCATTTTCAGAGAAGGGGGAAATGAAGCTCAGAGAAATAAGAACTTGGCCCAAGGTCACACAGCGAGGATAGGGTCAAGACTGGAACTCACATCCAACTCCAGAGCCTTACCGGGACTCCCTGGCTCCCTCAGATTCTCAGCTTTATAGGCATATGGACATATTTCCCATTTCTGAAAACCCTGGATAACAACGCCAAACGTTCCTCATGGCGAGGGTTGCTCTGAGCAATTTGTTCTAAAGACAAAAGATGGGAAACTTTCTTTCAGGGGTGCCCTAGGGTGGCTGTGAAATCAGAGCCATTCCAGCCCTGGGTGGGTGCACCCTGACTTCCTATGATTCTGTGATCTTCCCGTTTCCACGATGAACTTGGCAAGGCGCTGACTGCTGGTAGATGGGGCTGTATAATTTCCTCTTGGGGTCACATCTGGAAAATGCATGTAGAGGGTTGCATGACACAGTTAAATTTGCACTGTGATGCTTTGCAAGGCGTGCGCCATACTCTTGTCACACGAAAGGTAATCAAACCAGTCCACGACGTTCTCCCATGACCCCCTCACCCCCCACCCCTACCCCCTGGCAAGTTAGTCAAAATAGGAGTACATTCCCTCTAGTAGAACAAAACAAATCGAAGCCATGGTTATGGGGGGAGCGAGTGGGAGGAGCAGAATGAGAGGAGGTGGAGCTTTAGGACTGTGCCGCGAGTATAATAAGGCCCAGGAGGCAGAAAGGAAGCAGTCCGGCTACTGCATGGTGCCTTTCACTTTCTGTATGGTTAACAAGGAAGGACGGTGAATGTTCCCAGAGGAAGAGGGCAGCAAATAGCCTAATAGGCACAAGGCTTTGTGCTTCACACTTCATGTGCTCTCGTTTTAGCCTCACGCCAGCCTGACTAGCTGTAGCCCATTTTGCAGATGGACAGACTGAGGCTCACATAGGGTGAGTAGCCCCGCCAATGTTGTGCAAGCAATGCTGTGAAAGGTCAAAGGCAAACACACTCAGACTTCAGAGGATCCAATCCTTTCCCCAATAGTTTTGTCACCTCGGTTTGCTTCCATACAGGACAAGACATCACAGCAGAGGGAGCAATGATAACACAGCGTTGTGCATGCTTTATATTTCCTCAGGCCCAAAAATGGTGGGAAGTACTGTGTAGGGCACCGCAAGAAATTCAAGTCCTGCAACACAGAGCCGTGTCTCAAGCAGAAAGGCGACTTCCGAGAGGAGCAGTGCGCTCACTTTAACGGGAAGCATTTTAACTTCCACGGGCTGTCCCCTACCGTGCGTTGGGTCCCCAAATACAGTGGAAGTAAGTACTGGGGGGAAGAGCCTGCCTCAGCAGGCTGGCTCTGGGCCCAGGCACAAACGTCATGTGGCATCCCGTTTCTGCTGTCCAGTTTTGTTCAAGGACCGGTGCAAGCTGTTCTGCCGGGTGGCCGGCAACTCCGCCTACTATAAGCTCCAAGACAAAGTGGTGGATGGAACGCCTTGTGGCCGGCACACCAGCGATATCTGTGTCCAAGGCGTGTGCCAGGTATGTCCCAGGGGACATTTTCTTCCCTGTGTTGTATCACTGCCAAGCTGTGGTTTGTGGCGACCGTGAGAGAAGAGCAACTGCTAATGTCTGTGCAGTGTCTAGGGCAGTGGCTCTCAAAGCACGGTCCTGACCCAGAGTGGTGGTGGCAGCAGCCCTGGATTCGGTACACGCCAGAAGTTGAGAGACACGTGGTGTAGTGGGTTTTAGGCTAGGCCTGCTAACAGCAAGCTCAGCAGTTTGAAGCCATTAGGTGCTCTGCAGGAGAATGATGAAGCTTCTACTCCTGTAAATAGTTACAGTCTTGGGAACCCACAGGGGCAGTTTTACCCTGCCCTACAGGGTCCCTATGAGTCAGGATTCACTCCCTTGCAGTTTGTTTTTCCTGATGTTCTCAGCCTATGGGGGGCTTACACAAAACCTACCCTGAGGGATTTATTATGGTAATGTACACACACACACTCACTCACACATACTCCTTTACTGTACCCTCTGCCCTTAAAATTAAGCCCATATGTTATAGATTGATCGTTCACCTCTAGGAAAAGCTGTCAGGAGGAGGAACTGCGGGTCCACGGACCACATTTTAAGTAGCCAGGCTCTGGGCACCACGGACTGTTCTGTCATTTTGAATGCTCATCGTTCACAGAAAGCCATCATTTGCCATCCTGACCCTTTCTATCCATTGTTTTCTTTTTAAAGGAAGCTGGATGTGACCGCATTTTAAATTCGAAAGCCCGAAGAGATAAATGCGGGGTGTGTGGTGGCGATAATTCTTCATGCAAAACGGTAGCTGGGACATTTAATCTTGTGCGTTATGGTAAGAGTCCAGGAATGGTGAAAAGCAAAATAGTCAAAGTGCAAACACTGTTATCCACTTGTAATATGTAAGCATATTCATATCAGACATAAAATCAAACTTGTTCCAGTACATATCCATCTGGCTCGAAGGAGCAGGTTGGTGAGAATAACGTTATATCCGTGTCCCCTGCCTTTCATCCCATGCTCAAAGGAAGAGAGCCCCTCTGAGGAGCTCTGAACCTGTGCTCGCTTCTTCCCAGGTTACAGCAATGTGGTCCGGATTCCAGCAGGCGCTACCAGCCTCGACGTGCGGCAGCACAGTTTCTCAGGGGAGTACGAGGATGACAACTACTTAGGTGAGACGGGACGCGGGCCCTGGTCCTCTAGGGGAGGGGGGAGTGGGCAGACCCACTTCTTTACCCTGTTGTACACAGACAGTTTCCCTGTGACATGAATTTCTACCCAAGGGAGTTCATCTTCAAAATTCATTATTACTTTTTTATTGGCATACACTTTGCATGTCATAAAATTTAATAGTCCAGTCACATTTAGAAGAGTTATGAAATCACCACAATCAATTTCAGAATTTTTTTTCTTTCTCAGGCTCATTGGTGCTAGCTCCTCATTTCTCCCATCCTCCCCTGCCATACTCTTAAGCAATTATCAATCTAGTAACTGTCTCTAGATTTGCCAATCCTGTATTTCATATACAAGAAATCACACAAAACAAAAATAAGAAACAAACACCAACAATGACAAAACAAAACAGAAAAACCTCAATTGAAAAGAAAGCAGAAAATATTAAAAATTGAAGTAATTTTAAAATGGGTCAAAAGAAAGATCAAATGATAAGATGTTATAGTTTAAGCACATTACATCATGCATACCTGACTTTACAATGCTCTGTTGGATAGCAAGGCTAGTCACATAGCCTTTTCTGAAGGCTTAATCCTCGTGTGGAGCCTGAAAATGGATTTTGGGCTTCCACTGTCACCATAACCTTCTGCAAATCAGCTGTTCACAATTTAAGCTCTGATAACATTTCCTCCTTTGGGTTTGGATTTTATTTACACTCCTTGGATCACACAGGCTAGTTAACACCCATATCTTTAGTGATCCCATCCTCAGGGTATCAAGTTGGGCCGTAAGAACTATGACATAAGAACTAATTGTTCTTAGGTGAGGGCTATGATGAAGTCCAAGCCCCAGATCCATTCATATATCTATGTTTAATGTATGTCTCCAATTCATTGTAGAGATATCTTTATCAGAAAATTCATTATTTTGATTGTTTCTCATACACACATTTTTAGCACATTGATTCATGCTGTGCTGCTATTTTTGACTACAGCAAGGGGCTGACGAACTCTCCGTGAGATGGATTGGCACAGGGAGCCACAGCAATGGGCTCACATAATGATCGGGGAGATGGCACAGTACCAGACGGTGTTTTGTTTTGTTATTCATAAGGTCACTCCGAGCCAGAGCCAGCTCAGTGGCAGCTGACTTCCTATGAATTTTGGAAAATAGAAAGGATTCAAATCAGGTTTTCAAGGGTTTGCATTTATTGTGAAATGAGTAGTCCTATTGAGTACAGGTGGTATAGTGATTAAGCGTGAGACTGTGCTCCATCTGGTTGGCAGTTCGAAACCACCAGCAGGTTGCTAGGTGAAAGACTGGGCTATGTAATCCCATAAACAGTCTTTTTTTTATGAATTACATATGTACACACCTGTACATATATTTATATGGCAATAAACTGAGGTAGTAGATGGACTTCAGGCCTCTGCTCATACCCTCCCTCAATGCACGAACATTTTGTTCTAACAAAAACAGATTTGCCATCTCACAATTTGAGGGACTGGAAGTTCACATCAGGGCACCAGCTCTGGGGGAAATACGGTTTCTCATGCCCTCTCTTCCCCCTGTGTGTGAATCTTTGTGGCCTCTGCTCCTCAGGCCTTCACATTGCATGAGACCCACCCACGCAGTGGGGAGGAATTGACTTCTTTTTAAGGCCACCTGTTTTAATCACACAATACAACTTCATAACAGCAACCAGACGAGGGCCTGACCAAATAACTAGGAACCATCCCAGGCAAGTTGACAAATACAATCAAGCATCATAGGGTCCTAGAACCAAGGAATTCAGATTCTCCTCAGAGAAATGAGGGAACTACAGGAGGGTTTGAGCAGAGGAATGATAGGATATGAATGATCATATTCGTGTCTTAAAAGGATCAATTTTGGCTCTTATATGGAAGACAGATGGAGAGAGAGAGGTAGAAGGTAGAAGCAGACAGTGGGTAGAAATTTACTGGAATAATCTGAGAGAGAGGGGGAGGAGGAGATAGAGATGGAGATGAAGAGAAAGAGAGACTGATCCTAGTGCTTTGGCTAAAAATAGGACGTGGGCGGCGGTGGTGGTGTATGCCATGAGCTCTTGATATGTTCTGAAGGTCGATGGATTGAATACGGTGTGTGAGAGAAGGAATCGTCAAGGGTGACTCCAAGGTATTGTCCTGAGCAACTAAGAGGACTGAGCTGCCATCAGCTGAGTTGGGAAGCCTTGTTTCCTACTTCTCCATGTGACCACTAGTGTTATACAGCCTTTAAATCTTCACCTCCTGACAGCAAGCCTTCGCCTGGTCTTCTTAGTAAATGAGTGCTTGCCTGTTGAGAAATTCATTCATCTGCTGTCTTTGTTGAGCTATCTTGAACATAAACACAATCATCCCCTTTTTCAGAGATCACCAAATCTTCCTTGGAATAAATGACTCTGGCAGTATCAGCTTTCTCTCTACCCTCCTAAGGAGCCCTGGTAGCATAGTGGTTTTAAGTTGGGCTACTAATTGCAAGGTTAGCAGTTCAAAACCAATAGCCACTCCGAGGAAGAACGATGCGGCTTTCTAGTCTTATAAAGAGTTACAGTTTCAGAAACTCACAGGGACAGTTGTACCCTGTCGATAGGCTGTGATGAGCGGGAATCAGCTTGATGAAAGTGGGTTGAGTGAGAAATGTCCGATGGATTGTTGGCTAAAAATCATTGAACAAACTTCATGGGGACCCTTTTCAAACTATTTTTGTGGGAATCCCTTATTTCTCACTCCACCACTGCCCAAGATGGGCCAGTCATTCCTCTTCTTGCACTTGGTTATAAATTTGAGCATGTGACGGCGGAGCATGACTTCCTAATTAAATCAAGCAGCATTGCATGAAGCCTCCTTTATAAATTAACTTGCTGAGAGCAGAAGACTGTATTGAGCTGAGCCTTTCTTCTCCTTACAAGAGAGAAGGCTCCTCCTCTATTCTTGTCCTTCCTGGAAAAATAATCTCCCTCCAATGCAATTTAATCAACGCAGGTCAGGAGCCTGCATGCAGGGAGGGCCACCTGATAACCTTTATTCCTCACTGAAGGGTCTTTAATCTCCTGTTAAAGAATAAAAGTAGAAATTAAAGAAGATTTGTCATCTGGGACAGGCAGCCTGCACCAGTTGTGGCTCTTTAATGAAATATTATGAGCAAACCACCTGTTGGCCTCCAGTGGGCTCTCTCTCTGGCAGCAAATGGCAAGCCAGCTTGCAACACACACCAGTCGCAGTTCACTGGGTGTGAAAGTCGGGACCTCGAAGCGTTGAACCTTACAATGGTTACTTAACAATTTAGGAAGAATTTGATGTTGTCATCAAGTCCAGGGTGTGTAAATGTTTACCCTTGACTTGGAGGAAGATTAGCAAATGCACTGGGCAGGTGTTTAAGCCCATAGGGAAATATTGCCCGGGCCCTTCACAGCTGGTGCATTGCTGATTCCATTCAAGACAGAGCAAGAGCTTCCTTCCAACTGATGACTCTAAAGATGTCTGGGGCCAAGTGGCTTGTCATCCTCATCTTTCACATGTTTCTATGAGGGGCAAGTCAAGCCACTCTCTCTCAGGCTGTTTTGGTGAGGGCCTTTGTAACAGCCCAGCCTAATGAGTGCAGTGTGGTGCCGGGGTAAACTAATCCAGGAGAAAGACTGGGCTTTCTACGTCCATGAAGAGTTACATTCTTGGAAACTCGCTGACAGTGAGTTTTGAGAGAGTAGCATGAGTGGGAGGTGGGGCAGTAGGCTCCTGCTTTCAGAAAAGCATATATTTTACGAGATACAGAAGCAGAAAGGCTCACTGTCCAAGATTATCCTTTCACAAAGACCCACCCCTCCTGTTGGGTTAAAGCCACCAGGTTATTTCCTCAAAAGAGTATGCCTCCAGTATACTCAGCCCTGAATTAACTGTAGTCATGAGAAGACTGGAAGTGATTCCATTCAAGATAGAGCAGGAGCTTCATTTCAACTGATGACTTTAAAGATGTCTGGGGCCAAGTTGTTTGACAGAGCAAATCAGAAGAGAAGTCTTAGATCACTGTCTATTGGGATAAGGAACAAGCAGTGCAGGGTATAATGCCTGAGGGTAGCATAAGCAGGAGAGAAAACATGCGGACATCAGAAAGGAGCCCGCGAATGACTAGAAGAGACACCTGCTCTTTGAGTGCAAGTAGGAATTGCAATACTGCTTAATTCATAGAACAGGCCTTGTGACGGCTCATTTCCCCTGTTGGTGAAATATCAGCTGGGCTGCTGGCATAAGACTTAACTTGAAGGAATTGGGTGGCCTTGTTGGCAGCCCATCATGCAGTCACCTTGTAAGTGATTCACCTTAGAAAGCAGTGTCAGGATGCCTAAGGCGCCACAGAATTAACCTCATCTCTGATCAGTGACCCATTGAAAGTCCTGCGTCTTGCGTGGCTAGTGGGTCTCATGCTGCAGAGGCCCAGGGGAGATGAGATTGCCAGAGGTTTCCACTGACTGGGGATGAGCCATTTAGCTAGAAGGACTCTATTCTTGTCACGAGTGTCAGGTTCCATCAATCACCCTACTGTTCATTCATCATCGATAGAGCACCTACTATGGACCTAGATCTTCACTGGCTTATAAAACTAAAATGTTTAATAGCTGCTTTACTAAAAATGTTCACACCCTCTTGCAGAAAAAAAATACCAAACTTACTTAAAACTCTGAAATTTTGTGTGTTAAATCTGGTCTCTATTTGTTCTTTGTGGCACAGTTGTTAAATACTCAGCAGCTAACTAAAAGGTCAGTGGTTCAAACCCAGCAGCCATTCCAGAGGAGGAAGTTGAGGCAGTCTGCTTCAATTAAGATGATAGACTTGGAAACCCTATGGGGCAGTTCTACTCAGTCCTGCAGGTTTTTTCTGTTTTTGTTTTTTAATCATTTTACTGGGAGCTTGTACAACTCTATCACAATCCATACATACATCCATTGTCTCAAGTACTTTTGTACATATGTTGCCATCATTGTTTTTAAAGCATTTACTTTCTACTTGAGTCCTTGCTATCAGCTCCTCATTTTTTCTCCTCCCTCCCTCATGAACCCTTGATAATTTATAAATTCTTATGCTTATTTTTTATGTCCTACACAGTCCAATGTCTTCCTTTACCCCCTTGTCTGTTGTCCATCCCCCTGGGAGTGGGTTGTAGTGATCAGTTTCATTGTGAACCATTTCCCCTTTTTCCCCAAACCTTCCTCTTACCCTGCTGGTATGGCTACTCACAATATTGGTCCCAAGGAGTTTATCTGTCTTGTATTCCCTGTGTTTCCAGCTATTATCTGTACCCATGTACATGCTCTAGTCTAGCCAGATTTGTAAGGTAGAATTAGAGTTATGATAGTGGTGGGGAAGAACCATGAAAGAACCAGAGGAAAGCTGTATGTTTCATTGGTGCTGTACTACACTCTGACTGGCCTGCCTTCTCCCCGAGATCCTTCTGTAAGGAGATGTCCAATTGCTTACATATTGGCTTTGGGCCTCCACTCTGAACTCTACCCGTGCCCCGCCCCCCTTCACATTATGATTTTTTGCTTTGGGTCTTTGATGCCTGATACCTGATCCTATCAACACTTTGTGATCATACAGGCTGATGTGCTTCTTCCATGTGGGCTTTGGGGCTTCTGAGCTAGGTGGCTGCTTGTTTATCTTCAAGCCTTTAAGACCCCAGACACTATAGCTTTTGATAGCCAGGCACCATCAGCTTTCTTCACCACATTTGCTTATGCACCCATGTTGTCTTCAGAGATTATGTCGGGAAGGTGAGCATCGTGGAATGCCAAGTTAATAGAACACAAAGTTTTCTTGTATTGGAGGAGTACTTGAGTAGAGGCTCAATGTCCATCTGCTTCCTTAATAGTAAACCTGTAAATAAATGCACATAGATCTATTTCCCCATCATCCTATATAAATATATTTACATATGTACATACCTGTATTTAGACCTCTATAAATGCCCTTTGCCTCCTACTTGTTTCCTCTATTTCCTTTCACTTTCCTCTTGTCCTACTGTCATGCTCAACCTTCGTTTGGGTTTCATTAATTCTTCTCAGTTACATTGCCCTTGATCAAGCCCTACCAGGCCTCCTACACCCCCCTCGCCATTGATTTTTGGTCACTTGTTGTTCCCTTGTCTCTGGGTTTGTTAACACCCACTTCCTTTCCCCCGCCTCCCCCTCTCCCATGTCCCCCCCAGAACCGTTGGTCCCATTGTTTTCTCCTCCAGAGTGTTTATCCCATCTACCTTATCTAGATAGACCTTCAGAGATAATAATATGCACAGAAAACAAGACATTGAAAATCAAAGCAACAGAAGAAATCAAAACAACAACAATAAAAACGTACAACAAAAAAATAAAAGCCTATAAATAGTTCAAGGTCTGTTTGTTGACCTTTAGGAGTGTTTTCCTGTTGAGTCTGATGGGATGCCATGCTCTGGCCTCAAAGAGATTAAAACATCTTTGTAGTAAATACAATGTGGGAAAAGTATAATTGTGATTTTATCTCGAGAAATTAATAAAAAAATAAGGTCATAAAGTTTATTTTGCCTTACAGGTAAGAACATGTATGTTGTCATTCAATCTTGCTCAGGTTTTTGGGATGGAAAAGAATGCAACATGATGCATAGTTTGGCATAGTTTTTCCAGTCTAGTCATATGATCACGAGGTCATCGTTCAGTATGCACTTCAGTTTGGGTTTTAACAGTAAAATATGAAAGGAGCCCGTCTTTTGTGAAAGCTCACTGGGGCTTGGCCCATCAATATATTGATAGTTGCATTGGTAGGAGCACTTTATCCTCTTCTGTAGTCTTTCACTGGTCTGATTCTATTAGAGACGTCCCCGGACGGGGTAAACCTGTGGTTCTCAACATTCCTCATATTGTGACCCTTTAATACAGTTCCTCATGTTGTGGTGACCCGCCCCCCCCAACCAAAACATTATTTTTGTTGTTACTTCATAACTGTAATTTTGCTACTGTTACGAATCTGGTGGCCCCTGTGAAAGGGTAGTTCCACCCCCAAAGGGGTTGTGACCTACAGGTTGAGAACCGTTGGTGTAAACAGTTAAGGTGCTTGACAGTTAACTGAGAGATTGGAGGTGGGAGGCCTCCACAGGTGCCTCAGGAGAAAGGCCCGCTGCTGTACTTCTGAAAAAGCAGCCGTTGAAAGCCCTGTGAAGCCCACATCTCCTTTGACGCGCGGGGCCGACAGAAAGGTGGACCTGCTGCTACCACCCCTGGAAGGGCCGTCAAATCCTCAGCTGACCAGTGTTGGGGTACTTCACTCAAGCATTGCTCCAGGGTAATTTGGACCCGTTTTATATGATTTCCTAAGTTTTCCAGGCACCATGAGAGGTAGGCGTCCCGTTTTAGAGGTCAAGAAACGAAGGCAGAAAGTTGCATTTCTGGTGGCTCCACAACTGGAAGTGGCAAAAGTGACATTTGAACTTATGTCTGCCTGGCTTTAAAGTCTTTGCACTATAACTCCCTGCCAATCAGGGTGTGAATTCGTATTTAAAACAGGTGGTAATTGGCAGCAGCTCACAGAATACTCTTCTCTCCTCTGCAGCATTATCAGACAGTAATGGAGAATACTTCCTAAATGGAAACTTTGTTGTCACAATGTTCAAAACGAAAATCCCCATCGGGAGGGCTGTGATAGAATACAGCGGATCCGACCTCGTGGTGGAAAGACTCAACTCCACGGATCGCATTGAGCAAGAACTTTTGGTTCAGGTAAAAGCTGGATCACGAGTCCAGCACCCCTTCCTTCCCCCTGGGAACCCCTGGCATGCAAACACACTCCCCATTTTGTGTGCACTTTCCAGGTGTTGTCGGTGGGAACACTGAGTCAGCCCAACGTGCGCTATTCTTTCAATATTCCCATCGAAGACAAGCCTTACCAGTTTTACTGGAACAGCCACGGGCCCTGGCAAGCTTGCAGCAAGCCCTGCCAAGGTATCTGCTGGGGGCCTGAGTTTGGGGGTTTCTCTTTGTTTTCTTTTAAAAAAGAAGTCAATATATAAACGTCCTGGCTACTTGCCTTCTCTCCTCCTTTCTCAGAATTTCTCTTATCATACTGACTGTGAAGCTTAACTTTTTAAGGGATTCAGAATATGATATATATGTTCTTCTTCTGAGAGTTTACTCCCAGGGTAAACTGTGTAGAATCATCTGTGACATAATACTTTCCCCTGAAATATGGATGTATATTTGTATTATGTGTTATTTATTTGTTTCCTTTTATCTAAATTAAAGGTCAGCAAACTGTAGCCAGTGGGCCAAATCTAGCCTGTCTTGTGCTTTTGTAAATAAAGCTTTATTGGAATAGAATCACATCCATTGGTTTCTTGTATGTAGGAACCTTTAAAAAGTTCACGTATAAATTCCATGTCCCCTCAAGTTAATTTTTCTATGAACTATTTGAAGGCCCCTTACGTTGCCTGTGACTGCTTTTGCCCTATAATGGTAGAGTTCAGTTGTTATGACCGAAATTGCATGGCTAGCAAAACCAAAGTATTGACTGGCTGGCCCTTTACAGAACGTTTGCTAATCCCTGGTCTATATAGGGGTTATTTTCTCCAGCTCATTTTTTTCCCACCTGTTTAGGGGAACGGAAAAGAAAGCTTGTGTGCACCAGAGATTCGGATCATTTTACTGTGTCTGATCACAGATGTGAACGGCTACCCCAGCCCGCACCCATCACTGAGCCCTGCGGCACAGACTGTGAACTGAGGTGAGGCCTTTGCTCCGTGGCTTCCCACCTAGGCTGGGAAGGTCTTGCAGCAGATCTCTAGGGTGAGGAGCAGAGGGATGGTCATCTTCAGTCCTCTTTCTTGTTTTTTTAGCTTTAGCCAATTCTCCATTCTTCAGGTTTCTTATTTACCTAAGAATTAAAAGTAATACAGTATAAACTCAAAAACCAAACTCACAGCCATCAAGTTGATTCTGACTCATAGCAACTCTATAGGGCAGGTTAGAACTGCCCCAGTGGTTTCCAAAACTGCAGCTCTTTAGGGGAGTAGAAAAGCTCATTGCGTTTCCACAGGTCTTTCTCCTGTGGAGCTGCTGGTGGCTTCAGACTGCTGACCTAGCTGTTAGCAGCTCAACATGCAACCACGATGCCACCAGGGCCCCTTTGAGTTGGAATCGAAGCAATGGCCATGAGTTGGGCTTGGGTTTTGACTTATCCAAGAAGGAAGATGTTATGGCCCATTCAAGAGTGTGCGAGAACAGAGGAGTACTGTGACCAGTTACTCATGTCTGTGTAGGAGCGGGAGGAGAAGTCATAGGACGTGCACCACATCTTGGTGGATTCTGACCCGAAAGCTCTGCCTTTCAGGCACTTTCCAGCCCTCCACACGCTGGCCTGCTGGTTCCTTAGCTTCCCAGCAGGCATTAACATAATTCCTTGCAAAAGAAATAAGAATAAGAATGGACATTAAAAGGGGACACTTACACTAGGCAGTATTAATTCTTGTTAGAGGTACTGTTGCCTCAGCACATGGACTTAATGTTCTTTTCAGAAAAATAATTAGCTAATTTTATAACTGAATTACTAATTTTTTTTGTTTGTTTTAAGGAGGAGTGGGGACTAGTTTAGACTTGTGAATAGATTCTTTAAGACAGCCTCATTAAGGGGAAAAGTGACATTTTAGATTAGCCTTATCTCAGATTATCACTATATTCCCCCACTACTTTGAAAATAATAATAGAACCTGCCACTTACCATGGCAAAGCTATTTTACATACACATATATATAGTAAATATTCCCCCATTTAATTCTCACAGCTGTCATAGAGAGAAGTTAAGTAAATTGTCCAAGGTTCTTCAGCTTGTTAGTGGGTTGAGAGGGGTTCAAATTTGGCCCATCTGACCCGAGCCTGTGCTCTTAGACCCTAGGAGAAAGCTGGTTTTATGCTTCAGTAATAAAGTGGCTGATACTACTTGACCATATTCAGTATCATGTTTACTCCCTTGGGAAATGGAGTAGTTGCCAGGAGTTGTGTGCCCTGTCCTGGTCCCCACCTTCCATGGGCCTCCTGCACTGTCATTTTTTCCACTGACTGCACCAGAGAAACTTGGTAGAATTTCCTATGAGAACAGAGGCCTGCAGCACCTGTGGCATGAAGCATGCATGCTCTTAGATCACCGAGAAGGCAAGTCCATGCGGATCATTCTGAGCGAGGGAATGTGCCCTTAATCATATACTAACCCTTTAAGGACCCTGCCTGCAGTGTCCGCAGGAGGACCTGTCGGAGGAGCTAGAATGTTTGAGCTGTTACTTCAAGAGTCTGAGATTTACCACTTCGAGCAAATTGCATAATGAGCTGAAATTTCGTTTGTGATGATACCCCTTGATCTGATGGTCACCATGGTGTCTCCTGTATCAGAAACTCAGGTGGAAACAGGTAGAAGCTCAGGTGGAAAGCAAAACTTCAGAATCGTTACAAAACGAGTTAAAAACTCGTTACAAAAAGCATGAGATTCTACCAGGTTTTATGAAAGATTACATAGAGGATCTCGTGGTTTTCTCAAGTTTAATATTATTGGTTTATGCTGTGCTATAGATGATACTGGAAACTTGGTTGGAAACTAAAACACAGAAGGTGGTAATCATAATCGTGAAAGAAGTACAATATAATAGCTACTTTTCCTGAGTCTTTTTAATACGTGTTCAGAGTTCTACATGCTTTGCCTCTCGGTGCCCGGCTATCAAAAGATATGGCATCTGGGGTCTTAAAGGCTTGAAGATAAACAAGCGGCCATCTTGCTCAAGCAACAAAGCCCACATCAAAGAAACATTAACCTGTATGATCACGAGGTGTCGATGGGATCAGGCATGTAAGACCCA